TTAAACTTTATCGAACAGGAATTTCTATTATAGTTGACAATAATCCATTATATGGAAATTATCTTTTAATTAAACCATTCAACGAACATTATTTTCCCTCTTCTATTGCTAATTCATACCAATACTCACATCCGACCGATAATCGAAATAAACAAAGCTCTCTACTCTCATTTTCTTTGTTAACTTGCTCCTATTAATTATAAATTGATTAAAAAAAATAAACGAATATCCGATAGTGAGAAAAAAAAGATAAATTTAAATGTAAGACAATATGTAAACTGATGGGAAGACACTCTATAATAATAAAAGTTTAACAACTATGATAATAACTATTTTGAAAGGACTTATCAAATGAATCTTATTCTCAATAGATAATTATTGATTATTTATCTTTAAATAAAAACAGAAATAGATGAAAAAAAAATTTCTATTCAGAAAATAAAGTTGAATTAAATAGAAAAGGTAAATGGAAATGATATATATCTATGTGATAATAAGACATTGATTCGGATTGTGAATGAATAATTATCAGAAAGAATATTTTCTTTTCTTATATTTATTATCTTATTTTAGAATTAAACAATCAGATAAATGAAAAACAACCAATTCTATTCTATGAGATAAATTCTAATAAATCTGTTAAGTTTTGTTTAATTTATAGAAATATGTTTGTTATAAGAGAGAAGAATGATAAATGGTCTTGTTCTATATGATATGCATGTAAATATGTTGATAAGATATATTAATGACGTGATATCGATCATATTTTGTTATTTGAAAGATTCATTTGGTTGTTTATTTTAAATGGAAGAAGAATATGTATCAGAAATTCGACTTGAATTACAACCGAGGTTTTTTTCTTTTTTATTTATAATATAATAAAAAAAAGAGTAAAAAAACTAATATTTTTATTGTAGATCTCGTCGAGGTTATCGTCGTTTATTTGGAATTCGTGAAAATAATTTTTTTAATAAAGAATCATTTGATAGAATTGCTTTTACAAAAATCTTTCTTAACAAATATAATAAAAAAGTTCTTAAACGAGGAGAACATGTATGAATATCATTTAACATATTAATTATTTCAAATTTTTTTACTTTATTATTAGATAATATGCGACAATTTAATTATTGGAGTTAAACAAATAAAACGTAATATTGATTTATTTAATAAATATTATTTTAATTATATTTTATATATATAAAAAAAACAGGTGCTTCATCAACATATTCAGGAAATACTCGCGTAGAATTTCTGATAAAAGGTCTTCCATTTGGGTATGATTGTCTATTTAAACAAGATATTTTAGTTTATTTTTTGTCTTTCTATTAAATAGAAATGAAGAAAAAGGTCACCTTGATAATAAAATAATGGATAATAAACGAAGTTTAAATGAATATTTTATCAGTGATCTTCTTACTGTAAGTATTTTCAATAATTTATTTAAATATTTTTTTACAGTTTTTTTTATCCGATTTAATTCAAGATTAAAATAGATTTTTATTTATTTGACAAAGAAGAATATTTAAAGATTTTGTTTTTGTTTTATTGAATTATTCTTTTAAAGAATATATAATGGGATAAAAAAATGTATATATCTAAATAAATAAATATCTATTTAGAAAAGTGGTCAGACTAATATTAATGTTGAAGTTGAACAAGTTTATTCGTAAGTGAACGAATTTATAATTAAATAAATGAACAAAATTCTATAAATCTAGATGCTATTGTTGTCAATGTAAAAAACGTTTAATTGAAGGAGATTTGTATATAAAAAGTGGAAATTGGAGTCGGCCTATTATTTGTTTATCATGTTATAATTTATTATTTACTTATAAATGTGCTCGTTGTAAAAAATCAATAACATTTGATCGTAAATGAAATTTATTTAAAAGAAAAAATCTTATTTTAAAATAAATTTAGATCAATCATTAACATCTGATGGTTTAACTTCTATTCATTTTGTTGAATATAAAAATTATTATTGGCATTCAGATTGTTGTGTTTGTGTTACATGTTTACAATCATTAATTGGACAAAAGTTTTATCAAGATCAAATTTATAATCAATTATTTTGTCTTCAACATATTCCACATCAATGAGAACAAAGATTTGACCATAACGGACGGGGCTACAGCCGGATGCGCATCTACCCATTTTTACAAAATTTAAAGTGTTTTACAGCCAACATCAGATTTTTTATTGAAAAAAGAAAGTTCATCATTCGTCCACTTTTACAAAATAACATATACGTATATTCGACTCACAAAAAATTCTCTACACTCCCACTTTTCCTCTTTGACATATCCTTGGCACCCCCACTTTTTTTTCTTAGGCATATACCTGAATTAGAATAACATTTTATTTAATAAAAACCTTTTCCATGGAAAAAAAATCTGTAGGCGTTTATTTGTTTTATTGAAATAGAGAAAAGAAAAGCAACGATTTATATATCTAAATCTTTTTTTTTAATTCTTTTTCTTTTTTTTTTATTTAAATAAAGCGTTGGCAGATGAAACAATAAAATATATAAGATAATATCTTTCTATTAAATAAGATTATTTTTAAATTTAAATAACATTTCAACTATTATTCATCGAACAATAACTTTTTTTCTTTTAGTTTTTTTACTAAAATATTTTAACAAGTAGGAATCAGATATTTTTATTTTCTAATCTATTTATCAATAAAAAGATGATTTTAACATTTGTTGAATCAATAATCGTCATAGAGTTGATTTTCTTAATTTAATATGAAAAATAAATGAGACTTTATAAGTATCTATCGTTTAGATTCGTTTTATAACGATAATAGTCAATTTGTTATATGTATAAGTTTTTTTTTTTATTTCCAAAATATATTCTGCGTACTTTAGATTTAAAATGGAAATAGATTCTTTGATAAGACTTTTTTCTTTTTTTTAATTTTTATTAAAAAAAATAAATTTAATGAAAATCGATTTAAAATTGTTTTAGAAAAAAGGAATGTCTCTCCGATTTGATTCATCGTTGAATAAAATTCTTCTTTTATTAATTTTATTTTCGACAATTGAGATGAATGAAAGTCGTTTTGCTTGGGATTTTGGTTCATACTGTTTAAATTATTGTGCACAAATCAAATATAAATTAGCTGCTATTAGCATTTGTTCATGTCATTGGATATCATCGAATCATCGACGATCAACAATCAATACTATTTCAAATATTAACAACGATGATCCTTTAAATATAAAAACATTGTTAATTAAATAAAATTAATAATTTTTTTTTCTAAATAAAAAAATAAATAATTCAAACTTTTCGAAAATGAATCGAATCAAACCGAAATAAAATAAATATTTTTTATTAAATCAATTTAATATTTAGATTTTATTTAACATTTAGAAATAAATTGTCAAGAACTATTTTAGACAAATTAAATTTATATCTTATATAGAAATTCTTGGTTTCTTTTTTTTTCTATACATGTTAAATATTCTCATATATACTCAATCAATAAATCAGCCTATCTTCATATTTATTCTTTGACAAATATTATATTCAATTAATCAGCAACCAACTCAATTTTCATAGAAACAATCAAACGATTATTTCATTTATTTATTAGTTCTAATGAATAGTTGAAAAGTTTCGATTTCTCTCTCTAAATTGAATCTATTTATAGAAAATAGATATCGAGATAATTCACTGAAGTAAACATTTTTATAGACCGAGATAAAACATATCATATAAAAATAAAATAATTCGAATTCCATCAAAATTATTAAATATTATAGTTTATTTATCAAGCATTACAATGCCATGTTATATCTAACATTTTTCACCAAAATATTCACGAATTCATTCTGTCTTAAATCGGTTTAAATAACGGATGCCTTTTTTTAAACTAAACTATTTATCATTGACTTTATGGAAGTGAATCATTTTTTCTATGAAAATAAACTTCTCGTAGGATTCTATGACATAGATTAACTGATTTTATTTTTAATCATCATTTCTCAGATAGAATTTGTTTTATTCGAAACTCCTATTAATCGACCCAAAATTGATAAAATATCAATAAAAAGACAAGATTTTCTTGTACTCATGAGCATAATGTCTTTCAATAAAGTGTCTTACTATCAAATTAAACTCATGATAATAATACCATTCTATAGAACTCCTAAATAAATCTTGAATGGTTTCTAACTCAATTTCAACAACTATTTTCAATATTTCATAATGAGAATATATTGTTATAGATATTCTTATTTTGTAGATAGAAGTAAACAATCTCATAGAAAGGAAAAAACAAAAGAATAATAAATAGTTCGACTCCTATAAACTATTTTATCTAGAAAATAAACTAATTCTATTTGATATATAACGAAAATAATTAAAGTTAAAAAGCGAAGAGAAAATTTTCGTGATAATAGTCGTATAGGACAAGAGATTATTTGAAATAGATAAATAACGAGTTTTTGAGTCAATCTCTGATAGCTGAAATCAAAAAGTAAATAATAATAAGAGAAGAATTTGATCAGTTAACGAGATTTTTTCTCGTTTGAAGATCATTTAAGATAAAGAGAAAAAAAAACATTTTATTGAGAAGATTCTTTTCATATATATTTGTCATTTAAATAGATTTATTTGTTTAAATATTTCTATAATATATTAACATATTTGTTTATTGTCAGGATCTTGATAAATAGGTTATTGTTAATGTGTTAAATGTTGTTTTTCTATGAAAATCTATGTTATATAAATGATAAATAAAAAGTTAAAATGTTTGATACGTTTGAATAAATGAATAATGTTGAGAATAATCTTGATTAAAATCTAATGAAATGAATTCTTGAAGTAAAGTGTCATCATTAAGAATTTCTTTAACAAATTGATCCCATTTTATTCTATCATGTTTATTAAGAGAATTTTTTTGAAAAATCTTATTTATAACTTGATTTATATGAATTTTTGATGATGGAATATCAAATAGATCAAATATATTTCTTAGAAATTCTTTTAATTCGTCTCGTGATATTGTTTTTCCTTTTCATAACTATATAATAAAAAAATAACATTTAATTTATCATGTATTGATCCATCATTAGTTAATACATTAAGTAATAAAAATTCCAAAAAATCTAATTTATTATCTTTATTTAAATCAAATACATCAAATAATTCTTTTATTAAACCTTTTATTTTTATACTATTTTCATCAATTAATTGTTGATAATAATTAATAAATTGTTGACGTGATAAATATTCATATGGATAACAATGAACAAAACGTAAATACCATTCTTGAATATCTTTAGGAGGTAATTTTGTTTTTAATGATAATATATTTATTTCTTGTGCTGTTAACGATTGAGGAATTTTCGATTGAAAACAAGAAAATAAACCACTCATTTATATCATTGATTTATTATATAAATAAGTTTTAAAAAATCCATCGAATTATTTCTTGTTTGTTTATTAGACTTTTTATTAAATAGCGATCGATTTTATCTAGTCTTAGAAATATATCTGCAATAGTTATTTATTATTTATCTGTGTGTGTGTGTCAAATTTTTCTAAAGAAAAAGAGAAAAAGAAGAAATATTATAATAAAGATCGACCTTTTATGTCACAGATGTTTCTCTGTGAAAATAATTGACACTAAATCAATGATTAAAAAAAAATAAAATCGATAATAAATTGTTCGAATATATTCTTTAGTTAATTAAACATTTATTCAACTCTATATCTATCTATCTGTCTATCGAGTTTTTATTAAAAATAAATTAAAAATTTTATTGAATTACCATTAAAATAATTCTATACTAATAAATAAATTATTTCATTTATATTTACAACTTATTTATTATTCGATTTTTTTAAATATGTTCAACATAAACAATTATTTTTTTTGCAATTGACATCGATTTATTCATCTTATTTATTATATT